GCGTTCCACTAGATATCGAGGTCCCAAACTGTTTAGGACTTTATATGTCATCATTAACACTTTGAAATCAATGTGGAAACGAATGGGCAGCCAATGCAAGGCAGTCAGTGGGGGGAATATGCTGATATTTTCTGATCCCACTGAGAAGTCTGGCCACCACATTCTGCACCATTTGAAGCTTTCACATCAATCTCAAAGGTATCCCGACATTAAGCACATTAGAGTGGTCTAATCTCGAGATTACAAATGCATGGACGAGAGTGGTGAGAGCCCTGCCATCAAGATAGGGCTGCAGCTGGGCAATCCGCCACAGATGGAAATAGGACGAGTGGGCCACTGACGCCACCTGAGTTTCCATGGTGAGTGCTGGATCCAGATGGATCCCCAAGCTGTGCACCATACTCTTTGCAGTGAGAGTCACCCCCCCAAAAAGAGAGGAAGTTTTCCAAACCGCAGATGGAGGAGCCACCCACCCTCAGGACCTCCATCTTGTCTGGGTTCAGCATCAACCCATTTTCCTGCATCCATTGCAGTACAGCCTCCAGGCAGCGCTGAAGGGATGGAACGGCATCCACTGTGATTGACAAAAAGGAGCTGTAGAGCTGGGTGTCATCAGCATACTGCTGGCACGAAGCCCCACACCCCCGATGACCCCACCCAGCGGCCTCATGTAGATATTAAACAGCATTGGGAAGATAATTGAGCTCTGCAGAACCCTACAATTGAGGCGCCACGGGGCCGAAACACTCTCCCCAAGAAGGATTGGAGTCAGGCAAGCGCCAGACCACAGATTCCCAGCTCGGAGATCCTCCCAGGAGGGTACCGTGGTCGACGGTATCGAAGGTGGCTGAGATATTGAGGGAGACCAACAAAGAAATTTCGCCCGTCAGCCTCCCTCAGCAGGTCATCCAACAGGGCGACCAATGCCGTTTGCATACCGTGGCATGACCTGAAGCCTGACTGGAATGGATCCAAGGCGTTGCTTCCATCCAAAAGAGCCTGGAGCTGGTCAGCCACCACCCTCTCTACCACTTTGCTAAGGAAAGAAACATTGGCAACAGGCCTATAATTACCAATACTGTCCGCTACCAAACTTGGTTTCTTCCTGTGGGCCTAATGAGTCTCTCCTCCTGGAGAGACCCATTAATTATTGCCCTGGCCCATTTGGTTGTTGTAGGCCTGGCTGCTTTGATTAGCCAGACCAGGCAAAGGTCAAAGGAGCAGGTAGTGGCATGACAGTGGTCAAGCGATTTCTCCACCATATCTGGCGTCACAGGCTGAAAGAGATCAAGTCTCATCGGGCAAGGCAGAGCACTGGACGCCTCTGCTTGATCTACTGTGTTCAAAAAAGGAGAGAGCTCCCAGTGGATGGCCTCCACTTTAGATTTTTTTAAATGTTGCAAATTGGTCATGGGAAATACTAGGAGGAGGCCCATCACTTAGACCAATTCCAGATAGATCGCAAACTATATGGAAAAGTTTTACCTGTTGATTTGAAGCTTCGCTTATCCGGACAGCAAAGTGAGCTTGACTGGCAGCCCTCACCTTAGTAAGGTAGTGGTTAATTGCGATCTTGACAGCTTTCTGATTATAATCCCTCTCCAAATGCACTTTAGCCTTCTCCTGTTTTGCTTCGCAGCTCGCAGCTCCTGGTTAAACCAAGACGCAGGCCAAGCTCTGCAACGGAGAGGACGTTTAGGAGCGATCGTGTCAACAGCCCTGGTGGTGGCAACAAGCCAACCGTCAACCAGAGCCTCAACAGGAGTGCCAGTCAGATCACCTGAATCCCTCTCATGGAGTCCTGTAATCACAGTGTTCTGTGGTGATACTACAGGGAATACAGTCCCATGCTATGCACTTTTGGAGCAGCCAACATCTAGAGAGCCTGCATTATATAGTGGATAGAGGGCTGGACTAGGACTTCGATCTGGGTTCAAATCTCTGCTTGGTCATGGAAACTCACCAGGGAGGCACTGGTAAACTACACCTTTAACATGTCGTCTACCTTAAGAACCCTACTAAAGTAGGATTACCATAAGTGACTTGAGTGCACATAACAAGAGGTCCTAGAATCTTCCATTAGTACTTCAGACAAAGGTCTTCTGTGTCTCTCATATTTATAATGCAACTGAATTAAAAAGAAGTGGGATTAATCTTAAAAGCTACTTTGATTAGTAATGATAACTTAGAGACAAACAGCAAGTTTATTGTCATCCCCACCACCCTCAGCTGCAAACTCTCAGCCTATAGCTTGCTTAGAACCATTTATGCTCCCAAAACTTTGCTCCTTGAGTATGTATTTCAAAATGATACCGTGTCTTGCTAGATCCAAGTATAGAGAGAAGAAATCCAACCTGAGAGTTAAAAGACCCTATCACTTTCTGGTACTTTATAAATAGAGCACTCTTCTTCCAGCTGAATAGCAGCACTGACTCCCAGGCTGAAGAATGTCTTGTGTGAAGCTGGCCTCATTGCCCCCTTCTGTCACCTTAATCTGTGCCACTGTAATTTCACCAAAAAGATATGCCAAATTATAGGGGATGTGAAGGCTTAACATGCAGGTTGGCAAGGAAGATATCTTGCCTGCACGCTAGCCCTTCAATAATGACAAATCTAAAATAAAACAATCTAACGGTGCATAGGCAAGGAAAAGGAAGACTATGTATTCCCTGGAAGCTGTAGAGAATCCATTATTTTGGGAAACATCATTGGCAAAGCTGTTGGAGTATGACAGTGGGTAGTGGTTAGTCAATGGGTGGGAAAATGGCAAGGACAGGCAAGTAAGCTAAACATTTCTATTGGTTACATTGGGTGTGTCACAATCATCAAGTTAAGTCTCTTTTCCACTTTCTTCAAGTTTTCCACCCTATTCTGTGAATTGCAATGCTTCCTACAGACCTCTGAAACTATGCAGCTGTCCCTTGTTGCATTATGTGACCCTCCAATCCTTTCCCCTGTTCCCATGAGTAGCCACCTCCCAGCCAAGTCCTGAATTTTAGGTCTAGAACAGCTGTTACATTTGTTTCCCTTCCTTCTCCAGCCTTGTTTCTAGGAAATCTCTGAGAACTGCAGCACAGCTCAGCATACTGTACTTGCCACTAAAAATGGGAAAAATACCAATATTTCATTCACTGTGCAAATTACGCAAATGCATAATGGATTTTGCTTTAGCAAACCATGTGAGACGACAAACAGCTATGCAGAGAGCCCCATGGTGCAGTGGCTAAACTGCAGTACTGCAGCCAACCCTCTGGCAATGACCTGAGTTTGATCCCAAGAGGTTCAGGTAGCCAGCTCAGGGTTGATTCAGCCTTCCATCTTTCTCAAGTCAGTAAAATGAGTACCCAGCTTGCCTGGGGGCAAGTTGTTGTTTGCATGATTATGCTGTAAACCGTGCTCTAGCACTATGGGGACTAGATAAGTTGAAACAACAACAACACTTGTCCTGTGACTGTTGGAAGTCCAATTCCACAACCACTCTCTTGCTTCTGAATACCCATTGCATACTCCTTCATAAAATCCAAGATCCCCTTTTCCCCTTCAAAACACACACAATAATATACATCTGTGCCAGCTGACAAACCTCTTACCTTTTGAAGTACTGCCAGACATGGAATGCACAAAACACCTATTCTTAACTTTCCGTTCTAACTTTTGTTACATTGCAATGCATATCTCTGAAGATCACATCCCCACCCCACCCCACTGTGAATGCTGCTACCATGGGAATTAAGAATAAAGCACTTTCCTTTTGATAGTGTTCTAAAACTCATTTTATTTGAAAAAGTGAATGGAAAAATATAGTGAAATGAAACCAGAGCTTCCCCTGTGTGAATTTCCCAATGGGAAATACAGTAGATATAATATCAAGGGTTGAGGTCAGGACAAGATTCAAGCATACATAATAAATACAGTCAAACAGTTATCAGAAGACAATTATGTCATGGGTGGGAATGTGGGCTTCCTATATAGTAGAAGACCACAATTTTGCCAAATCAAATTTGTCATAAAGGCAAGAAACTTAGCACTGTAAAACTTGCAGTACTTACCACAGTGGACATGAAATGACTTGCAGCTAATTTATAAGGAATTTGTTCATGCTGTTATGGGCTTAATTATATGATTGCAATGATCATGTCAAAATCCTAACTATAAATATTCAGTCATGAATTAAATGGATGATCAAGCCCTCATTCTACTAAATTAGCCTTGTGAGGGACTGCATCACCCCCATCTATGATCAAATATCACTTTCAATGCACAGTTGTGGGCATGAAAATCTTCCATACTTCTGGGTGGAGACAACAAGTATAACTGATGGCAAGAAACAGTTCTAAGCTATTTCTGATGTGTTCTTCAATGAAACTTGAATGCGGGCACATGTCACACCTATTCCTGTTAAGGCAGGAGAAGTAAATGGGTTAGGAAGAGGAGAGAGAAGATACGATGCCGATTGAATTTAAATTGATAAATAAATCATGCAATCATGAATATAAGGCCACAAAGGACTATTGCAATAATTTGCTTCTGGTTCCCACAAGCCTGGTAAAATAACCAGCCTTTCTTCCACCAGTCTTCACAGTCCAAGAATTAGTCAAGAAATATTCAAATGATCACGTTAAACAAACACTGTTATGTTGAGGGGCAGTAGAAGGGCAACAGGAATCCACAAGTGGGACAACAGGGCAGGATTACAATAAGATCAAAAATAATAAAACTCCTAACTGGCTATGCTGGCCTCCCTTGCCGAGAAAAGCAAGTGTGGAAGCTTTAATTTAGCTTCATTTTAGGTTTTTTCATTTAAAGTTGCAAAGAGCAGCCACTATACTGCCATCCCCATCCTTACCTGGGGATCTTTACCTGCTAACAAGACTATCTTGTTGCAGCAAAGACTCTCCCATTTGTTTCTTGGTGACATTGCACATGATTGGGCATAACATAAAGTCACAACCAAAGGATGGACATTCCAGTCTTGCACATAGTTACACTTTCACTGTGGATGGTGGCCAAAATCTTTTATTTCATGTTCTGGAATAGTTGTTTTTTTTGTCACTGAGAGTTCTGTTTCAACTCACCCAACATTCATTCACTCTGACATAATTAAATTACTCATGCACATTACACTAGAATACCAGCTCCTTCTGTAACAGATAAAGAAAAGATATGCTGGTTTCTTGACTTGGAAGAAAATATACAAAATAAATAATTACATAAACGAAAGTTTGAATTCTTCACATCTCCAGGGCTTAAAGGCAGATTACAGAATGTTTCTTTGCTTGTGATGGAATTTTGTCATAGACGCCTCCTTGAGAAAAGGCAATACAGTCTAGTTGCTAGATCTCTGGTCAATCTTCCATGCTGGTACTGCTTTATGCTTGAACTATCTCTCCATTTTTAAATGAAGGAAGTGAATAAAATGCAGGCTATCACAGCCAAGAGCAGGCATCTGGGTTTTCACTACCCTTGAAAAAAAATGGTTTGCATAATAAAAAGAAAATTTACAAGTAGGTTACAGAAAGACAGCCTGAACAGAGAAACAGATACCTGATCTGTTGAGCAGGGTATAGTTACTAAGCCTGTGACAATGGAAGAATTGCAGAAGATGACGCTTCTCCTTTTGTAGTGTTAGGGTAGGAATCGTACCTGCTCAAAAATTTCTCTTCACAATTTCCCTGATCTTCATGGAAGCTGGCAGTTCTTCAAGGCTAGGGTCGTGTACTCCAGCCTTTTATAATAAGTGTCATAAAGTGCATATACTCATTATTTACAGTGCCATCTTTCTTTTCCTGCCCAAAATTCCCTCCAGTGTAAAATGTACACAATCATGATTTTCATACACATGCAATAGAATGGAAAAGTGCAGTGCTGGTAGCACACTGTGTGGTTTCAGAATGCAACTAAAGAATGCAGTTGAAAAGCTGTTGGCGGGGGAAAGCATGCATGTAGAAATCTAACAAGGTTTAGAGAAAAGACTCTGTTATGCTAGCTTTCTAGATGCACAAAGGTTTGTAACTAAACAGCAAAACAAAAATGAACACAAAAAAATGTGACCACACAAAACAATGAATCTGAAGCATCCATAAAATCTCAAGACTATCATTTCACTCTGCCACACATGAAGATCAAGCATTAGCACTGGAAACCATGATTCTGTTCTATTTCTTCCAACATCTTTCAGCCCAATTTACAGTTAACCTTCCCTTTTTACTAGTAAGAACATCTAACCTTTTGTGAATGCTAATATATAACCAGACATTAATTCCTCAGATAAAGCATTTCATTTTAAGTTTTAAACATGTGCCATGTCCTTACAGTTTTGCTGTAAAACAAAATAATGGGAACAATGGACAACATGAATATATTTCTTTGTATAAAAACTGGAGAAATACATCAAGGCCCTTAAGAGTTGAAGGCAGTAAGTTTCTTTCCATTTGCTAAAAAAATCTTAAATTAAAGGCATGATCCTACTTCTCAGATTCTCAAAGTAATGGTCTAATTCTCTACTGGCTGAATCAGAAGAAGGATTGCCAAATTCAAATGGAAATTCTCTCATTTTGGGCAGGCTTAGGAGTTTATTACAATTTGAGCCCTCTTCATATTCTGTTTTTTTCTAGGGACACAGGAGATGTGAAGGCAGCTGAATTTTTAACCAATATTTGATTCATAACAAAGAAACAAATTTTTGAAATCAATAAATAATACACACACACACACACACACACACACAAACACACATACACGTGTGTATGTGTACACATGCACACAAGATTGTAAAATTCGCAGATGCAATGTTGGAATTTCTCACAAGTCCCTGAAGATATCAAACAAAAGCAAAAAGAGAGAGAAAGAAAACAAATCCAACCAAAACATGCTGAGCTTGCACCAGAACAGCAGATATTTTCTTCATGGATCCTGTCTCCATTTCTCATATCTGAACTGGTAAAGCAACCAGCGATGTTGACAAACCAATTATAAGAAGATGCCCAGTTACTTTGCTGGTGTCACCGGTTCTGAAGGAATGGAAAGTAAGTATCCATTTGACCTGGATAAGCTGGTGTGATATGTACATTCTACTCCTTGAACTCTGTGTATGTTCCTAAGGGGCAGGAGTTTACCAAAAAAAGGAGAAGTTCACCTTCAGTGTCTGAATTATTTTGTTCCTATCTTAGCATTGTGCCTAGGAATGAGGTTACTACCACCCTTCTCAGGCAGAAAAATCAACCAAACAACTGCCTTCTTCTTTTTTTAAAGTCACTCCGGTCTGCAGACACACCTTCCCATCACTACTGCTTTTTCCACTTTAAAGAACGAGCAAAGTGTCACAAATGGAGCTTTTTGCAGGCTTCTTTTGCCTTCCCTGCTATCCCGTGCAAGGACATCCCAAGAGGGTAACGTATTTGGCCCTTCAGAAGCCCCAATGCAACAACTCTCCCTACTGCTGAGATGAAATAGGGCATGAATAAAAATGGATGTGCAGGGGAAGCAGATGAGAAATACATACTCCAAATGGACGCGCACGAATGCACACACAGAGTTGACTTGGAAGTCTCCTCATTTTCACTCCATCTCCACAAGAAAAAGAAAAAGAAAAGCAGACACCCTGCAACTCCGGTTTGTGGATGCCAATAGAATCAGCTAGGGAGCAACACATGTTCCAGAAGGTAGGTGATGGAGTCCCAGTGCTTCCAGAGAAAGAAGAGGAAAAGCACAAGTAGGGCTGTGCTCAGGAGACGCATGCGGGTCTTCATCAAGGGTGTGATAAAATTGGCAATCGTGGAGACAAAGACCAGCAGGACGGCCATCAAGGCCAAGATGACATTGATGAACTTGCCCAGCAGGGCCCGGGCATTGGCATTTTCCACTCCTTCTAGCTGCACCACCTGCTGTTGTTGTTGCTGAAGCTCCAGCTTGGTGACACGGGTCAGGCAGGACTCCACAGCCTCCTGGAGAAGAAACAGGAAGGGAAGGGTATTAGCTCAGCTGAGGAATAGATGCCATAGCTCAATAGGCAAGCACTTGCTTTGTATGCTAAAAGGCATCAGGTTCGGTCCCTGACACATTCAGTTAAAAAGATTCAGGTAGCTCAAGACCTTGAAGAGAGTGGCTATTACTTCAAGGTAAACATGGCTAGGTAAGATGGACAAAGTGGTTTGACTCTGATATCTTATGTTCAGGTGGTTGGAAGGCTGCAAACTCCATGTTGTTCTGGTCTAAAGAGGGGAAACACAAGGTGATGAGCTGCAACTAGAGTTATAAATATAATTAGTTCCCTTGGCGGATGACCTACACCAGGAACTGGACAGGGGGAGTGTGTCCCTGTTGGTTCTGATGGACCTCTCAGCGGCTTTCAATACCATAAATCATGGTATTCTTCTGGGCCGTCTCACTGTGATGGGACTCGGAGGCACTTTTTTACACTGGCTCCAGTCCTTCCCATGAGGCCGGACAGTCCACTCACTGATCCATCATGGATGCTGACGGTGTGATTCCACCAATGGCTCCGCAACGCGTGATCCGCTTGCCACTCCTGGCAAGAGGACAAGCCTCGCTGCAAGCTTGACGCGAGAAAGAGAACAAGCCTCGCTGCAAGCTTGAAGAGTGGCAAGCGAATCACGTGCTGTGGAGCCATTGGTAGAATTGCAGCGTCCACAGTGGATTAGTGAATGGACCATCCGGCCCCATGGGGCTGGGCCCTCGTTAACGCTACATGTGCAGGGATATTCCTATTCATATACAAATACCCCCATCTCTACTTGGCATCAGCAATGGGCTGGATGAGTGCAAACAAACTGAAACTTAATTCAGACAAGACAGAGGTGCTCTTGGTTAGTCGGAAGGCAGATGAAGGAATAGGGATACTACCTGTGTTGAATGGGGTTACACTCCCCCTGAAAACTCAGATCCACAGCTTGGGTGTACTCCTGGATTCATCCCTAAGCTTGGATGCCCAGGTGTTGGTGGTGGCCAGGAGTGCATTGACACAGCTAAAGCTGGTGCACCAGTTGCGGCCGTCCCTTGAGATGTTTGATTTGGCTACAGTGACACATGCTTTAGTTATATCCTGTTTTGATTACGGTAACACACTATATGTGGGGCTGCCTTTGAAGATAGTTAGGAAACTCCGCAGCTTGGGTGTACTCCTGGATTCATCCCTAAGCTTGGATGCCCAGGTGTTGGTGGTGGCCAGGAGTGCATTGGCACAGCTAAAGCTGGTGCACCAGTTGCAGCCGTCCCTTGAGATGTTTGATTTGGCTACAGTGACACATGCTTTAGTTATATCCTGTTTTGATTACTGTAACATACTATATGTGGGGCTGCCTTTTAAGATAGTTAGGAAACTTCAGCTGGTGCAAGACTCTGCAGCCAGACTACTGACTGGGGCCTGCTACAGTAGGGCCTTCTCTGTGGCAGCTCCCAGGGTATGGAATGCTCTCCCTCAGGAGATCAGGATGGCCCCTTCCCTTTCATCCTTCCAAAAAAAGCTAAAGACCCATCTCTTTTAACAACTGTAACTAGAGATGGGGGCATTCGTATATGTATACGAGTATCCCCGCACAGGTGGAAATAACGAGAGTCCAGCTCTATGGGGCCAGACTGTCCACTCATGATTTCACCGCTGCCGCTGGCTCCGCGGAGGCTTACTATCATGTGGTACTCTGCAATGGATTAGCCACTCTCTGACCTAGCAGAAAGGCTTTTCTTACCGCCACCTGCCAGGACTGGGTAATCGATTGTGGACAAAGGTGCGATAGGAAGCCTCCGTGGAACCGTCGCTATTTGCACCAGTGCAGGGATATTCGTATTTGTATACAAATATGAATACTCCCATCTCTAATTATAACTGAGTCCCTGAACCTCATTTTAGCAGAAAATTTTAATCTTTTTCATGTTTTCGTGTTTTAATTGTATTTTAAATCCCTCCACAGTAAAATCCTGGATTCTTCCTAATGTAGATCCTATATTCTGTTCTACATAAAAATCGTAATAATTGTTTTAGGACTGAGAGGCAGCCTAGCAACACCTGCATTGTATTGCAGAATGGAAATGTATCTGTATTAGCTAAAATGCCATCTTTGCTGCTATGCAGCCCTGAAGCGCATCTATGGGGTACAGATATTTCACAACTATCTAGAGACCCTGCTTTAGAAACCCTGAAGTACTGATAAATCCTGCAAAATGTTTAAAACAAGCTTGCTAGCTTTTAGCCACCAGCCCTGCATCATCTATTTAAATATGTCCCCTCTTTCCTTTCTTTCCTTCCCCATACTGCCACATGGGGGCAGACAAATAGTCTTTAGGCCAGGAAGACTTTTGTCTTTTCCATTCAACTGAAGCACATTACCCACCTGAATATTTGTCCTTTAGATGGAAACAGGAAAATAGTGAAATACTGTTCAGATGCTCTTATCTTATAGGAGAGTGGATGGAGCATCACATTAGCTTGACACAATTGAGATTATACCCAGGTCTCTGAGCTGCTAAACAACTCTGGACAGTGTATTAATATTAATATTATAATGTACTGTATTTTAGCCACATCTGGTTTTTTAAGCATTTGTAAGCCACCTTGGGTATACTGGGAGAATGGCAGGGTATAAATAGAAAAGAAAAGAACAGAGTCAGGGTAACATTGTTTGCTTTATTTTTCAGACCAGCCTGAGTAACTGATAAGAACCAAAGATTGTCTTCTTCAAGTGAAATACAGAATGTCACTGCAGTGTACCATTGGACTAGGCTTCAGGAGATCTCTCTGTAGATATGAAACTCTGAAGCCCACCTGCATTTTCTTCCCAACTTTATACTGCACTGGTCTGACATGTGTATACAACTGTTAGTGCATCTCACCTCATTTTTTACCACTGACTCAAGTGTTTTTGTGCATATTTTTCAACTGTATGAATTTCAGTAGTTTATTTTGTGTGCACCTAACTTCTCCAAAAGATGCCCCCAAAGCCTCACAGATCTGCAATATCCCAAGCTGACGTTCTCACAGTAAATCTCCTGAAGTAGAAAAAGGCTAATTTCATCCTAAGTACGACATCCAACAAAATGATATTCTATCTTTAACTTACTCTTACCATACCTATACAGTCTGAAAATTAACTTTTTAAAAAACTCATGATAACATTGTTCAAGCTCACGAAAGAGTGTATGAATGTGAATGGGTGCAGTAGGAATATAAGCAGTTGCCTTATTGTAGGTCAGATGGTTGATCATTCTAGCTAATGTTGTCCACTAGTTTGTTATTGTCTATTAAGTGATGCAATTAAATGTTAGGATTAGGAAGGATCTCCCATCTGTCAACCCAGAGCACTGCCACTAAATTCAAGCCCTTCCACAGCATGAGATAGTCAGATTGTTGATCTAAGCAAAGGTGAGGAAACTGTGGTATTCCAGATATACTGCACTTCAATTCCCAGATGCTCCCTCTAAGGTAACAATTGCTGGAGTTGTAGTCCAAATTGCAATACTGTACCTACACTTCACCTAAAGAAGCCCCACAGAGAAACACATATGTCTGGAAATAAACATTTTATTCTCATATCCTAGGACAAATACCTTCATTTTTCAGTGCCTCTGGCTTTGTCTATCCAAAACAACCATCCACAAAGTATCAATAGAAGGCACACAGCACAATTCTATTGTTGAAGGTCTGGGTCTGCACACCGCATGTAGGACAGACCACCATGAGTATGTATGTCAGTTGATCTGTGCTTAAGGGGTGAAAAGTGAATAATGAATATGAGGCAGTTAGATCAGCTGCACAAGCACCCAATGCATTTCCTCATACCTGAATGTCTCTGGCCCTCTCATAGGACTGGTAAGCCACCTTCTCCTCCATACTGGCCAACTCTTGCTTCAGATTGGTCATCTCATTCTGATGAAGCTCTGTCAGGTCATTCAGCTGCTCTTCCAGGCGCTCATACCTGCATCGTGGGAGAGGAGAAACAAAATAATCAGCTAATAACAAATGATTTAGAATTGCCAGTAAAGCTCCCCAGATTTAGAAATGAGTTCCAAGAATTTTAGCACAAAGCCACAAGGGAAAAGAAAACTTGAACAGAAACTGAATTCTTGTATGATGGAGATCAACATTTAATCCAGAGCAGGATTCCTCCAGTCCCTACCAGCTGTTCCTAATGCCCTCACTCCACTGCAGCCCCTCAAGCTTTGCAAACTGGAAACAACAGAAGAGTGCAGGAAGAGCAAAGGAGAAAGATCTGACCGTTCCCCTTCTGATCTCTCACCAGTGCCCTAATGTGCTGTGTAGCACTCGTAGTTGCTTTTGGGTAAACAACATTTGCCATGGAACCTCAAACTTGATGGGAATGGGAAAACAGAGGGAGATGGACTCCCCTCTTCATCACTTCCTGCTGTAGCTGCCTAAACTCAGAAAGGGAAGGCAGTGGCAATCCAGGATTTTTTTACAAGAACATGTTTGCGGGATTAAGGCCTGTGGGAGAGGAAAGGTGGTAGCATGATTCCTTGCAAAAAATGTTCTTTTCCCCCCTTCATGTTGAAGGCTCTCATTGGCCTTTCTGTTACTCAAAATTCCAGAGTGACTGGCAGGGGAACTATAGATATTGATAAACACAACTGGACATACCAGCTCAGACATTAGGTTCATCTTTTGTACAGGAACTGAAATGATAGTTTAAATACACAGAAAAACAGTCAGGCCAAAGGGCCCATTTAACCAATCCAATATATACCCAGTGCAGTGCAGTGGACAGAGTGACAAATTAGGACTCAGGAGGTCTGGGTTCAAATCCCTACTCAGCCATGAAAACTCACAGGATTGTGTGGAATTATGTGCTGTCAAGTCAATTCTTATTCATCGTTACAATTTTCAGGGTTTCCTAGGTAGAGAGTAAAGTGGTTTATCATTCCTTTCTTCTGGGGACAGCCCTGGGAATGTGCAGCTTGCCTAAGGCCACACAAGGGATACACAATGGAGGATTGAACTTCCAACCTCTGGTTCTGCAGCCAAATGTCTATTGAGCCAGTCAAACTACTCCTTAAATATCTCAGTTATTTTAAAAGCCTTATTAAGTTCACTATAAATTGATTCTGACTTGACAGTACATAACAATAAAATCAGCTTACAAAGATGATCGTTCTGACTTGACAGCACATAACAACAAAATCAGCTTACAAAGATGATCATAAGTAAAATGCAGTCAACTGTACAATTGTAACATGGATACATGAGTATGCATGGCAGTCTTCTGGCCCCTAGCAGTTAATGACACACTTCCCTCCAGAATGAGAAGGCAGAAGGAGCTACAGATGGACTCAAGGCCTGGCTGAAGGAAATGCCAATCCATTGAAGCAACCCTTCATACTGAGAGATTCAATGTGATGACAGCACTTATTAATCCCTTTTCTCTAATTGTCATTGCCAGCATACTCAATTCCAGTGGCTTTGGGTGGGCCACTTCCCCTCACATGACCTGTAGCAGGTCACAGCCCCACTTACCCACCCCAAAACAAAAGTGGCTAGAAGCTCATTTCTTATTTCTAAAAATCCTTTTTTTCCCCAAAAGAAGGTTTGCTGGAGGCCCTTTGTCTTGTTTTAAAAGAGAGCAATGTCTTCTGGAGATTTTTAAGAATGCAGGTTTCCATTCTGGATATTTTTCAGCCAAGGAAGATGTTGCCAGGAGCCATAAAAAGGAATGGAGGACACCCCCCCTTGTTATAAAGGTCTTCTGCTTAATTCATTCAGGACCCCTTTGAGATGTTACTACTACATCTTTGATAGTGAACAGAGCACAAAAGCTCTTGGCCCAAAAGGGGAAAACAGTACAGATGCACATTCAGCCATGAAGTCATTGTGGAAGTACATTCACTGCACTCTTCCCCCACCCCCCACAGTCTGCTCCTCAGGATAAATCTCAAGAGAGGACTAAGCCCCACTTCTACTTCTGCTAAAGCAACTTCCTCTTTTCAGTACAGGGCAGTGTACATATATAGGTTGGCTGCCCCTTGCACTAGTCAGGATGTCACCCCCTCCGCCTAATCCAATTTCAAAGACAAAACAAAATCATAGGGGAAAACTCTTTAAATAGTAGTCAAGGACCTGATAGCACTTTAAAGGCCAACCAATATTTTATGGCATGAATATTTATGGCATTTATAATGCTAGGTGAAGTTAAAGGCAGCAGGAGAAGAGGAAGACCAAATGTAAAACAGATTGCCTCCATAAAGAAAGCAACTATCAGCCTGCAGTTTCCAAGAGTTAAGCAGTGCAGTTGCTGACCGGACATTTTGGAGGTTACTCATTCATCAGATTGCCATAAATTGGAAATAATTTGACAGCACGTAAAAACCACCATTTATAGACTATTTAGAGTCTTTTTCATAATACGTATGTAGTTAACAGTTACTACTGATTAACAGGAATATAGATAAAGGGTACAAGAAAAAACCTGCAAACTCTGTAGTGTAGCAGTCATGAACTGCTAAAATACAACATTGACCATGTTATATAAAGCTTATAAGCACAGTGACTATAAAAACAAAAACTGTAGCCGTCTTAGGTGCTAGGAGACACTATCGCCAATTCAACTGTGAGGTATCAAAACAGTTAGGAGTCCACACTGAAAGTTTAACAACTAAAAAACCCCACAAACCCCATTGGATAACTATGCCAATAATTATTTTATAAAAATATTAAGAATGCATTCCTAAAGACTCAGTACAGTGGGATGTACTTCCAAATGAATGTGTATGGGATTATGCTGTGACATTGCCCAGTAATCTTCCTAGTTACTACAAGCAGCACTTGTATTCCAAAATCTGAAAGGAATTAACCTGTGGACCAACCATAGAAAGCAAATGCTCTGCAGAGGCTTTAAAACACAACTGTTTTGTTGTTGTTATTGTTGTTCCTTTAATCTCCGAGATCATTAAACCTAGTCAGTAATTTGGTTGCTGCTTCAAGAAACAAAATTGAAAGAAGAGATCAGCAGTAGTTGCAGGCAAATGTTAATTTAAAAATAGGAGAACAAAAGTGAGCCTAACTGGATACAGTAATCTCATCACCAGTTTGGTTCTTCGTAATAATCTAGATAGAACATCCACAGTTAAGCCAAAGATACATCCGTTTCTTCTTTTTCTTTCTGCATTTATTTCTTCTCATCCAGCTTTTACCTTTTCTTTTTGGAATCTTTGCTACTACAAAGTAAAGCTGCTTGCTCAAACCCTGAGCCATCTGTTCCATCTGGAAGGAGAACTGAGTTCTTGCTTATAAGGTGGAAGTACAGAAGATAATGAGTTTTTTTCTTTTCCTGCCTTCAGTTTTGCTTTTTAAAAAAAACAAAGCACAAATAATGGTCCCACTGCAATCTCTGCTCCTTCTTTAAATGTTCCCCATGTCAGTAGCATTGCTCTATAAAGTCAGACTTTTGACCATGCAAAGGCAGCAACTATGTGAAACTCATTCTCTTAGTTCCTCCCCTATTGTTTACAAATAAGATCTTAATGTCAACTGGAAGATGCCTTTTTATTTCCTGAGTTTCAAGACAAAATGCTGGTTGTTGTATGCTGCTAACACAATCTTGTAGCCCTTATAACCCTATGAAGAAGTCCCTTCAGTATGGCTTTTAATCCTCTAAAATTATCACCTTGATACAGGGTTGTGATCTTTTAGTCTATTATGATTTCTGTACCAACTTTTTAATTGTTTCATTTTTTCCTCCTCTTACTCCAGAAATATGAGTGATGGACATTAAAAATACTTCTACTAAATAAATATGCCCCAATGTATTCAGTGGGCTTTATTCCCTAGTTAATGAAAGGAGACAGATGAGAGCAAATGCAAAACAAATGAAGCAGGGGAGGAGGACGGGATGTCTCTTTTGAAGTCTGTTTGCCATTCGGAACAAGGTTTTTTTTTATTCCTGCTGTTACTGGTAAGAAACTTCCAGATTTTCCAATTTACTAGAGAAAATGTTTGGGAGGTGGAAAAAAATCTGACACCAGTGAAGGACAACACAGGTATTTGATATAAACATGAGAACATTCATCTGTAACCTATCGTCACTTCATCTAAGCAAATGTGCATATAGTGGGTTCCTATAGGGAGAAGTGGTTTGTGGTGGCAAACCTTTCAGTATCCTACTAATATTTCCTTGAATCTACGTAGGAGCTATCAACATTTGGCAGCTCTTATATGGCACCATTAACTCTATGAGAACCTGTATCGCAGACAGACAGACAGACAGACAGACAGACAGACAGACAGACAGACAGACCATCTTTTGGACATTCGTGTTTACTGGTATTCTTTTATTATATTTATCAATTATGATAAATTATAAAAAAGGAGGAGGAAGTACAAGATTGTGTGGATGAGGGAGTGGGGAGGGAGGTGAGAGAAAGGTATGGAGAATGGAGGCCCAGCCCATCCACCGCCAATTCCACCACTGGCAGCATTTGACAACCAACCCACTGTATACATTCCTTTGGGACAAAAATATTGCTTGAAACTGCAGAACCACCATGGATAACCCCTGAGAAGAAGAAGCACTTCACTGATGCTCACTACTGGGTAGAGGGAACTGGGGACTGGGTTATTGAGCAAGTATCCAAAATTTCTGCAAGCATGCCAAAATTTCATAGATAACAGGTAGCAGCTAGGGTTAGTAGAACCCATCACATTTGCAGATTGAGTTGGGTATCGTCAGCACACTCGTAGTATCAGACCATATATATATGTGAAATAGTATGGGGGATCATGGAACCCTGAGACACTCCACAGGCTAATAGTCAAGGTGTTGAACAGGAGTTCCCCTGCACCACTACCATTCACAAAGTGACACCACGCAAGGGAAAATCCCAGAACCTGACTCCTTTTATCATCAGTTCGCTAATTCTTCCTCAAACACAAAGCAATTGTCAGGGCTGTTTTTCAACAATGTAGTGA